GCTTTCTTACCTTATATCCTCAATGTAGCTGTTTTTCAACTATCTTTAATGCATTATTATTTCTCCAGATAGGATTTCACTGAAAATCAACCAGAAAGTCTCTCTACTATAAGTTTTTATATGCAGAATCACCTAAAGTAAAATTACCATGTACAATGCAGAATCTTTTCTGAAAAGCTCACCTGCAGCTCACTTTAAGCCCCTTAAAGGGCATATTCCTTAAAGTGTGCTTAAAACAGCAACAAAAATGTTTACAGGCCATCAAACATCAAATTAATATTAATGGTAATAAAAATGATAAATTCCCTTAAAAATAACTTACTGAAATCAAGAAATAGTCGAACTAGTTGACACACACTCAGAATTCTTTATTTTTCATCAAAAAAACAATTCACTACCAATGATAAATAACAGTAGGTCCCCTAAAACTACCTGTCATGTATCTAATGAAGACAGATTCTCTGGCTACTGCATAGAATATGTAATATCCGAAAGCGGTGCTGTAACTCACAGCTAATTAGCATCTGGCTGTTATGAGAGGTGTCATGGCCCTAACTCGCTTTTCTGATCTACTCAGACCTCACAAGAGCCGACAGCCATGCAAGGATCACAGCCACCCAATTAGCACCCACCCCAACCTGGGCTGCTGCTTCCTAGAGCCCACCCTATCGTCAATAAATCATGCTCCCTCATGATTCCATTCTCTGACAGCTGCAAGCCATGGCCGCCCAAGGAATAAAGACAATACTTCTAAGGAAAACTCATCTGAGAAAGACAGAGCTAGAAAAGGGATACTATTTGCCTTCCTTTTGCAGCATAGCAGTCAGCAAAACTGAAGACCATCAATTCTGACTGATTAAAGAGACAAGTGCACTAGGAAATAAACCCATGAGTGGAATATTTGAAGATTCTTAGTGATAATCAACAGTCAGCAATTGAGTTGTTTGTTTGTTTGTTTTAATGTGGATATATTGAAGACCTTTTTCTTTCCATTTTTTTCTCCTGTACAGCCTTACTCCTGGCTAATAGGAAAATTTTCTCTTCAGTAGAACATAATAGTATGCATTTACTTCATCCCCCAGTGAATACACAGCAATCAGATAATTTGTTTGAAAGACTCTAAATTGTTTGACTTCATTGAAAAAGAATCTATAATGATATGCTGGTCTCCAAGCAAGGCCTCCAAAGCTTCCTAAATCCAAAAGCAAGCTCTGTAGAGTATTCATAGCACACAGCAGACAATATCCTTGTAATTTTGTTCTAAGCCTGTAAAGCTATTTTGTTCCATAATATTCTACTTAGACAGTATTTCAAATGCTCACTGCAGCCTGGCATTATTCAACAGTATGACTCAGGTCATTCTACTTTTAGTTTATTTTCCTCATGAAAATATTATCCCTTCATATTTTTAATACTAATCTAAAACATTTGATAACTGCCACCTAGTTTAATATATAAAAACTGGCAAAAAGCAATTAACATGGATGCATTTAAACAAGAAATTCTTTCAGCTCTTCTTAAGCATAGAGATTTCAAAAAGATTCAGTTCTTTCTCTGAATACAATATTCTTATAGAAATATTCAAATATTCCACCTTAAAATATTTATCTGCATGGATGTCCACTGTATCATACTTCATAACAGCAAAATAATTGAAAATATCGTACAAAATATGAGATGAGTCAAAATAAATGATATATCCATACAATAGACAACTATGTGGCTTCTAGAAATAATAGTATAGAAATATGTTAAATACACGCAAAAATGTTCACAGGATACTATAAGACAGAAATAATAAAAATGGAGCCTGGATTTATACTATATACACATAGACAAATATGTGTGTGTATATAAACACATATATATACACATTATTTATGAGAAGATATTTCGCTTTCTGTGGCTGAGGATATGAGTTGTGTATGTGTATGTAAAAACATTTAGAGACTAAGTACATTTACTTAATCTATACCTAACAGTAAACATATTTTGATATTTAAAATCTATTTGCAAAAAAGTTATATTATACATTACCCTTCTTTGAGATGTTTTGTTTACATACACATTTTTATATGTCTTCATAATCAAGACTAAACTTATTATACATTTATTCATGTCACTTGTGGGTGTACAGGTGTGCACTCGTGAGTCTCACCCTGGTGGGGCACCTATTTTGAATGGCTAATGCCCAACCCATACTGGTCATTAAATATTTTTTTACCAACCTCGGTGTAAGCATTAAAAAGATAGGTAGAAACCTTTCAAGAATGGCAATCAGAAAAGCACTTTCTAACTTCACTATGCCACCTGCTGACCCCAAGTGTAGAGTTTTTAAGAAAGCTCATTCTTTAGTATTGCAACGTACACCTAAAAACAAATGCAGAAGTCATACACGTAAATATTTACAACTCTTAAAGATGTTCCTCGGGTCCTCTGTGCCTCTTTTTCGCAAGGCACTTGACTCTGCGCTGAAAAGCTATATTCGACCAAATTTTACATGTCATGGAGTTGATTAAATGTATTTGCATTGAGCATTTCAATTCACTTTCTATTTACCAGGCAAAGACAAGTGAAATGGAAAAGAAAATGTATTGTGGCAATATCAATTTTGACAACAGTATAACTTTCACTTCTTGCTTAGCATTTACCTAAAAGGATCCTAGATAATGTAAAAGTGAGAAAACGCCAGATGTATGTATTTTTCTTTTTTTATTTACTTTTTCTTTTTTATACTACATTTAATCACATATATCTTTACAGTGTATAGCATTTCTTTTTCTAGCATGATTACTATGCATATCAGTCAAGACAAAGACATTGCTATCCACATCAGCAGCAGCAAATAGCTTTCCATTTTTTTCAAAATTTTTTTTATTCTTCCTGTTTTTTCTTAACTTTCAATAGCTATACATCATTTAGTTTATAAAGAGAATTTACCTAACATGAAGTACTTCTCAGACCAGTCCAGTTGAGAATACTATACATGTTATCATCAACAGGTAATACACCATTTCTGTATCCCACAAATGTCATGCCTCTATTTTTTCTCTAAATGCTTCCTTTCTCCCTTCCCATTCAACACGGTGTTATCTATTTATTTTAATTTTGTTTTGGAGAGGTTTTTGCTATGGAGCGCATACACTCACCAGAAGGACAGAAAACAGAGAGACAGAAAGTGAGAAATCACCCCTGGGGGGATTGCCACGCCACAATCCCTTCTCCTCCATTCTCCTTGAGATCTTGGGCACGCACACCCATGCACCTGGTGTGAGTTTAAGCCACAGGGTCCCGGACTCGAACCACGGTCAACTACATGGGAGTCCAGCAACATAGCCATTACGCTAACTGCTGGTCCCAACACCGTGTTGTTTTTCAATTCATATCTAGAGTGCATATATTTTAATCTGTTTATAGAGACTTCAAGCCATAGATAATAATTTTTTGGCTAATTTTTTATATTGCTCTTGAGGGTACAGTAGATTTAATTTTCATGTTATTGTGAAGATAAGAAAAAGGTAAATTTTAAATTAACATATCCATGTTCCAACACCAGGTTGGTGACTACAGACTCTCAGACCCATAGTTGAATCACACAAAACAATGCCCTTACCTGAAAGGGAGAAATTTCCTTTCTGGCTTTCACTTTCTCTGATTAAAAAGGCACCTGTCTGATTTTCTGGATATAATAGTTGTTTTTCTGCATCTGTTCTTTTGATTGCTCCAAAGAACCACCTAAAAAGAGAGATATGTAAACTTTAATTAACCAATCAACTTTTATTTTTTAAAGAGCAACAAGTTTGGCCAAATGTTCAGTATGTTGTTAGTGAAACTATTACAGGCATAAATGGTAGCTTATACCATTTGAGATGATTTTTTGAGGATATCTGCAACCTATGCCAGGATTCAGTTAAAAAGATTTATAAAGTAGGGTCAGCTGCACATTGCTGGGGCAACATGAGAGGCCCCAGGTTTGGATCCCCGGATGACCAGAACGCACTGAGCACATCCACAATCCTGGATCATGGCACGATGAGGCCCTGTCAGGGGTGCCTCTCTAAATAAAGAAAGAAGCTCTGAAAAATGACAAAGCAGTGCAGCTCATGTTTACTACCATGTCTCTTCTCACACTGGCATTTCATGTGAGTAGTCCTGAGCCCTCCTCCCATCAAAGCCAAAGCCTCAGTGCAGGCCTGTGATTACGGTAAACCTGCAATATTCTAGGCTCTGAAATTATTCGTTGTCACCATCACATTTTCCACTGCTCTTCCTGTTTTTTCTTAACTTTCAATAGCTATACATCATTTAGTTTATAAAGAGAATTTACCTAACATGAAGTACTTCTCAGACCAGTCCAGTTGAGAATACTATACATGTTATCATCAACAGGTAATACACCATTTCTGTATCCCACAAATGTCATGCCTCTATTTTTTCTCTAAATGCTTCCTTTCTCCCTTCCCATTCAACACGGTGTTATCTATTTATTTTAATTTTGTTTTGGAGAGGTTTTTGCTATGGAGCGCATACACTCACCAGGACAGAGAGAAACAGAGAGACAGAAAGTGAGAAATCACCCCTGGGGGGATTGCCACGCCACAATCCCTTCTCCTCCATTCTCCTTGAGATCTTGGGCACGCACACCCATGCACCTGGTGTGAGTTTAAGCCACAGGGTCCCGGACTCGAACCACGGTCAACTACATGGGAGTCCAGCAACATAGCCATTACGCTAACTGCTGGTCCCAACACCGTGTTGTTTTTCAATTCATATCTAGAGTGCATATATTTTAATCTGTTTATAGAGACTTCAAGCCATAGATAATAATTTTTTGGCTAATTTTTTATATTGCTCTTGAGGGTACAGTAGATTTAATTTTCATGTTATTGTGAAGATAAGAAAAAGGTAAATTTTAAATTAACATATCCATGTTCCAACACCAGGTTGGTGACTACAGACTCTCAGACCCATAGTTGAATCACACAAAACAATGCCCTTACCTGAAAGGGAGAAATTTCCTTTCTGGCTTTCACTTTCTCTGATTAAAAAGGCACCTGTCTGATTTTCTGGATATAATAGTTGTTTTTCTGCATCTGTTCTTTTGATTGCTCCAAAGAACCACCTAAAAAGAGAGATATGTAAACTTTAATTAACCAATCAACTTTTATTTTTTAAAGAGCAACAAGTTTGGCCAAATGTTCAGTATGTTGTTAGTGAAACTATTACAGGCATAAATGGTAGCTTATACCATTTGAGATGATTTTTTGAGGATATCTGCAACCTATGCCAGGATTCAGTTAAAAAGATTTATAAAGTAGGGTCAGCTGCACATTGCTGGGGCAACATGAGAGGCCCCAGGTTTGGATCCCCGGATGACCAGAACGCACTGAGCACATCCACAATCCTGGATCATGGCACGATGAGGCCCTGTCAGGGGTGCCTCTCTAAATAAAGAAAGAAGCTCTGAAAAATGACAAAGCAGTGCAGCTCATGTTTACTACCATGTCTCTTCTCACACTGGCATTTCATGTGAGTAGTCCTGAGCCCTCCTCCCATCAAAGCCAAAGCCTCAGTGCAGGCCTGTGATTACGGTAAACCTGCAATATTCTAGGCTCTGAAATTATTCGTTGTCACCATCACATTTTCCACTGCCTCACTCACCCTACACTGCCTAAGTGTGAGGAGGCAAATGTTCCAATCAAAAGATTGTACACTTCACCTTAAAGTGTGAACAATTAAGGGTTTCTCCAGATATTAATTCCTTTCTTTTCTCATTTCCATCACTGCCTGGTCCCACTATAACATGAGATGGTTTTACTTGTATAGGAGGAATACACTGATCAAAAGGAAACTTTAACCAGCAGAGGGGTTGCATGACAGAGATATTTCAGCCCAGGAAGTACCTTCTTAGTGTCACCTCCACTTCTTGTCTTTACCTTTTTATTCTTACTATCCAAGAAAAATGAGTCAGGTACTGAAACATGGATTTGTGAATATGATGGACTACAACAAAGAATTATGAATCTTTAATATCCGCCGGTTTAAAACGTGTAACAAGTTGGCAGGAACAAATGTGATCTAATAAGAGGAAGCTGAGAATGTTTGCTTTTCACAAATGACCCCTCACTGGAGGACTACAGACATGACCATTATCATTGAAGTTTTAGGTAAAATATTGATCCTTTCAGGTGTTGTCTTTAAAAATGTAAACACTCCAAAGAAGGAAACACAGGCTTGAGGGAAGAAATACAGGTTGGAGGAGAAAATACGGCTCTCAAAAGTTAGCTCAAATTTGACTGACAGGTCATGGGTATTACAGACTGTGTAGTTCCAGCCTCGGAGGTGGTGACTTTAAGAACACACCAGGTGCATGTGTGTTTGTGCTCGAAATCCCAACAGGAGGGACAAATGAAGGAGAAGGGATTGCAGCATGACTATACTCCATGAGGGGTGCTTTCTTACTGTTTCTTTGTCTTTCTCCTGTGAGCACATATGCCCTCTGCCAAAAATAAAAATAAAAACACTACAAATGTAGTGTCCCGAGTCAGGGACCCTGTGGCTTAAACAAAACTACAATGTAATTCGCAAATTAAAATTTTAGAATTATGATTTTATCTCCCATATCTCATTATTCTCAAGAATAACCACTCGATTATATAAGCTTTATGGACAAGCACTACATTTATATTTTGGGTAACAAATACAAAGATGATGTGTCTCCGATACCCAATAGATGTATATGCAAGCAGTTTTTGTAAATCAAGTGATTAAAGATAAAGCAATTTTACTACATTTGCAGTGGAAACCTATGGTAACTTTTAAAAATCCTCTTCTGTCTCAATAATTTTGTGTTTTTGTATGATAGATTTATACGATTGTTTTATAAGGCAAATCATATCAGTATTAAGTCGATAGTAATAACAGAATAGATATAAATATTTGACTAGATGCGTAAATTTATTACCTGGAATTTTACTTGGCTGAGCTCTTACCGAGAAGCAAAGACTATAAATATTGTTTTTTGGCATTATAATCCCATCTGTCATACTCAAAAGATGACCCAGCAGCTATAGACTGTAATCTCTAGGGCATGGGCTGCTGGAGACTAATAGGCACACATCAGCTTGGTCTGCCCTCTGCACATGTGAAAATTGTTCCTTAATTTGAGGCCTGAGCCATTGGCAGGACTGTCAATCTTTTTAGTTCAGCCTTTAAGTGTCATTGCTGGCCCTGTGCTAACAGGGTACATACACCCAGGCCTGGTTCTCGGCCACCATTTTCAACCCTCTGTTTAAACTACTGTACTATACAGTAAACAGTCATCTGGGGATGTATAAAGCGTCATGGGAGAGTCACACAGATCAGTGATCTTTTTTCCTTTTTTTTTTTTTTTTTCTTTTGGAGAGGTTTTTTGGTATAGGGCACATGTGCTTGTCAGAACGACAGAGACAGAAAGCGAGAAATCACCCCCCAGGGAGGATTGCCACACCACAATCCCTTCTCCTCCATTCTCCTCTCAGGATCTTGGGCATGCACACACACGCACCCAGTGTGAGTTTAAGCCACCAGGTCTGGGATTCAAACTGCAGTCAGCTACGTGGGAGTCCAGTGACATAGCCATTACGCCAACTGCTGGTCCCCAGATCAGTGATCCTTAAAGTGTGGTCCTTGGATCAGGAGCATCAGCGTCACATACAAATTTGCTAGCAAAGAAAATTCTTGGATCTTACCCTGCAACTACTGAAACTAAATTGGAGTTAGCTTATTTATTTAATTTTTTTATATTTGCCAGAGGGTGTGTGTGTTTTCTGGAGAGAGAGAGAAAGAAGAAAAGAAAGGGGAAAAGCATCTCCCTCCCCCTCCCCCAATTGGGCATGAACACACACAGCAATCTTTTCTCCTCTATTTCTCCCTGCTGTTGAGATTTTGGGTACACACACGCACTTGGCATGTTTTTCACAGCCCAGTCTAGGACTCAAACCACAGAGGTCAACTCTGTGGGTTCCAGTCACCTTAACCACTGCCAGTGGCAGGCCCATGAATTAGAGTTTAATAAGGTTCCTCAGGTAAATCTGATGTATACAAAAGTTTGAGAACTACTGACATATGGGAATAGTAGAGAAATTAAAACTTTATACAAAACAGCTGAGAATAAGTTATAGTTTAGCACTGACATGTGAAAAAATATTCAAGAAAATTACACCACACCTACTCGCACACAGACTTCTTTCATTGATATTTAATGAAAATAAATCTTTATTACTATACTATATCATGCTATGAAAGAGATCTTGATATTATTGATAATAACCAAGAGAAAAGACCCATGATAACCCATATCCTGAAAGAGAGAAATGCTTCAATTACATAAACATAGACAAAAATAATAAATGCCTGTTTCAGATGAAAGGAGGAAGTGATTGAAATCTAAAATTTATTTTGCAAATATTTATCAAGTGTCTACTATGTGTAAATTCTGTAGCACTGACATAGAGAGATAGGTAAAACATTGTTGGATGGGGGACCAGCAGATGGCATAGCGGTTACATCACTGGACTCCCACATGGTCACCCTCAGTTCCAGCCCCGGAGGGGCTTGAAAATCACGCTGAGCATGTGTGCATGAGTGCCCAAGATCCCAGAAGGAGAATGGAAAAGGGACTGCAGCACTGCCATGGGTGGGGAGAGTGCTCACTTTCCCTCTTACTGTCTTTGTCTTTTGGGTGAGTGCATGCTCCCTAAGGCAAAAACTTCTACCAATAAATAAATAAATAAATAAATAAATAAATAGACAAAAGAAAGTGAAAAACTGTAAATTACAGAGAATAAAAGGAATATTATAGGTCTATTTATATTTTGAAAACCAACATTTTTATGTGCTACTCTGGAAATTAGTGAAAGATACTGAAAGTGATGGCAGAAGACTTTCCTTTTTTAGAAAGATTCTTGGTACAGAGTGTGTGCACTCACCAGACAGACAGAGAAAAAGAAAGTGAGAAATCGCCTCCAAGGAGATGGTCATGCCACAATGCCTTCTCCTCCATTCTCTTCTTGGGATCTTGGGTACACATGCATGCCTGGCGTGAGTTTTAACCCGCTGGGTCTGGGACTCAATTTACAGCTGACTACATGGGAGTCCAACAACTTAACCATTACGCCATTTGCTGGTCCCAGACTTTCATTTTTTTCTTCTCAATTTTTCTGTATGCTTGGATGTTTATATATAATCTAGTTAAGATCAATTTAAAATTTTTTAACATAAAAATCAAATGAATATCAGGAGTGTGCTTGACTAGAGACATTGATAGTTAGAATTGATACATTATAAGAAAGGGGGTTATGTAACAAATAATTATGGGTAGGCAGCAAAACAGATGGAAGAGCCACCATGACACGAAGGCTTCAGATTTGAAATAAGTGAAGGAAAAAATGCCCTGCAATAGATTAGAAGGCAAAAATACAATAACGTGGAAGATCTACAGCATCTCATTGGGAAAGTTATTTAACCTCCCTGGGCCTCAATATCCTCATTTGTAAGTTAGAATAATAATAATTACCTTGAATCCTTGTTTAGAAATAAAGAAAAATAAAAGTATGTAAAGTGCTGATGTCTGGGCATTTTCATACTCAAAAAAGAAGTCTTATTTTCAGAGAAATAACTTAAGGGAGAAATTATAAATGTGCTTTTAGACATGTTAGATTTGAGGTCATGATGGAACATGAAGGACTATGTGAGCATTGCCTTCTGTGTTTGCATTGAACACCTCATTCTAAGTGACTTTTGTGTCCTGCTTATCATTTTTGACAAAGACATGCTGCCACCAGGTGGCAGTAGGACATTTTACTAATTCCAAACGGCTAACAAGCTATAGTGTGATTAACTCAATATTCATTTTACAAAACAGACAGTGAGTTTTTTTTAAAAAGAGAATAGACGCCAGCAGATGGTAAGGAGGTTAAGGTGGCTAGATGCCACATAGTCAACTGTGCAGTTCAAGTCCCAGACCCAGTGGCTTAAAAAGTTACTCTGGCCTCATGTGCATGCATGTCCAAATTCCTGAGAAAAGAACGGAGAGGAAGGGATTTCAGTTGGCCATCTCCCTTGGGTGATTTCTCACATTCT